GTGTGCGTGTGTGTGTGTCATGTTGTGTGGAGCTGAATCTGTTAAAACAGTCACACTATGAGGACTTCTTATGAGCACAAAACAGCAGAACCCCAATGACATAAATAATACAATGTTAAACTATGGACATGTTTTAAGGTTAGAGTCTGCAGGCAATGAATGTAGTGTCCTCTGAAGTCATTAAAACATGACTGTGTGTGCGTGCATGTGCGTGTGTGCATGTGTGATAGTGTGTGCGTAGTCGTGCGTTCCTCTGTGCTTTCGGGTCTGAAACTCGACTTCTCTAAAGCCCAGTATGCAATGTAGTCAGCCCACGCTGTTTCCCGTTCCCATGGAAACTATTGCCCAGTGCTAAAAGCAGTTGTGTTCTGTGACTACATGAGTGTGTGTTTGTGTGTGTATCTGAAAGAGGTAGAAATATTTAAATATGGATATATAGCTTATGTAATGTGATATATAATATGTAATGTTTGTTTTGTTGGCTGCTGTTTGAGCAGTATATCGTGCATCATGGAGACCCTGTACATTATTATAGTTAATGTAATTATATCTACATTCATCTCTCTGCCTTCCTCCTCTTTGGATCTTCTTCAACAATGTCACTCCTCTTGTTTATCTCTCTCTCGACATGTACCTCTCTTTATTTCCTTTAACCCTTTCTCTGTCTCTCATCACTGAATTTGTTTTTTTCTGTGTTTCTAAGATGGCCGTCAGCCTGATCATCATCTGCGTCCTATCACTGATTGGCTATGGTACATCCCACCCCTCTTCTCCTCCTCGGGGATGCAGTGAGGATGTGGACCCTCCGTACAGAGTGCTGTGTGACCTGGAGTCAGTCTGGGGTGTAGTTCTGGAGGCTGTGGCTTGCAGCGGTGGTGTCACTTCTTTGGTAATCGCTGTACTCCTGCTTGTTAAGCTGCGCTCTATTTCCGATGCTGCCAGGCGCTCTGGCATGGGGCCTCTTCTTCTGCTCCTTGGCACACTTCTCGGCCTTTTCTCCATCTCTCTGGCTTTCCTGGTGGGGAAGAACCAGGCGCTCTGTGTGGTCCGCAGGGCCTTCTGGGGGCCTCTATTTGCCCTCTGCTTCTCCAGTTTGCTCGTGCAGGGTGTGAGGCTCAGGAGGCTGGTGGCTGGCAAGACAAGCCCCTCAGGCAGCACCCTGGCAGCGCTTGGCCTGGCCTTGGCCTTGGTTCAGGGCATCATCTCTGCTGAATGGGTCCTGCTGACTGTTGTCAGGGAGGGTCACCCAGCCTGCGAATATCCACCTTTGGACTTTGCGCTGACATGCAGCTACACCCTAGGGCTGCTCCTCATAGCCATGGGGCTTTCTCTGGGGGTGGTGCTCTGTGGAGGAGAGTTTGGGGACGAAGGAGGTGGTGGAAGTGAAGAAGACAGAGAAGGAGAGAGTGAAAAACGGAGATGGAAGTGTAATGCTGTGTGGCTCTTCCTGTCCAGTCTGGCTTCAGCATTGCTGTGGGTGGCCTGGCTGGGGTTTTATCTTTACGGTAGCCAGGCGTTGAGAGGAAAGGGGAAAGGAGAAAGGTTTGGTGGTGGAGGGAAGAACGATCTCAAAGTGCTGGATGAGCCTGCGCTGGCGGTGGCCCTGGTTATTCAGGGATGGATCCTGCTGCTGTTCCATGCCATTCCAGAGGCGCACCTGTGTCTCCGAAATCCTCCACAGTCCAACACACAAGACTTCTTTAACACCAGTCACACGTCCCCTCCTCCACATTTTGGAGACGAGCTCCCTGCACGCTCTCACCGACCCTTCCCAGAAAACCAAGCCTTTTCTATGGAGGAGCACAGTGCAAGTAAGCCAAATGTGTGTGTGTGTGTGTGTGTGTGTGTGTGTGTGTGTGTGTGTGTGTGTGTATGCGAGAAGGATATATGTGTGTGTAAGAAAAAAGAAAGGTAAGGTATGAAAGGTTTGTCTTTGGTTAACTGGTTCATTTACAGTAATTTTCATTAGTGACCAGGGGTGTTGATTACATTCAAAATGTCCCTTCTCCTATTGAGAGTTTTAAGAGCAACTTTCACAGAGGGACTGAAAAAACTCCAGACCTAAGAAAAGTGACAGCATGCTTCATGAATTCATTTCTACAGTCAGTGATTGGTTGACAGGTCACTGGTCTGTGACAGTGAAGAGGAAAAAAAAATTCACCATACACGTTTGACAGGAGTGTTAACAACTACCTAAGATTTTCTAAACCCTGACAGTCCCCTGTTAAAACTAATTTTAAATCACTAGCTCCAGATTTGTATTTTGGTCTGCACTGAATTGCACACAATCATAAATATCAGCCTCTAAGACCCATGACTTATTCTGTGGGAAATCAACGAAAATGTGAAAAACACCATAAATCACAATATCAAACAAAGTGAAGCATTCCAGAGCCACACCAAAATTTGATGGGTTCTTCCTTGACCAATATCACATCCTTCCAGCAAGTTCTATGGTAATCCATCCATAAGTTTTTGTGTGACCAGAAAAACTAACGCAGACAAAAGCATTAAGTCCTTGGTGCAGGTAAAGATTAAATGTAATTATGAATGAAAATTAAATTTTTATTTAATTGATTGGTATGAACATTGTGTCATGTCACATTTTATGAACTACATAAAAATACACCTTAACCAATGAAATCAACATCTTAACTTGAACTATATATAATACCCTACCACAAGTGCATTATAGGTTTCCTCACAGCAGAGTGTTGCTCACTTCTAGCCATTGTACACAATAAAAAATCCAATTAAACCTTATGAAATACATGATGATCAAACAGGCTTCTCCACAGGAGGATTTATGACTCATTTTGACGGCAGCTCTCTGTATTTATTATGAAGCCAAAAGCACAGATGAGGAGCTAAACTATGAGGAACTGGGACAAACAAAGAGTGGGGGAGGTGGCAGAAAGAAATCATAGAGTTTTCCAGGATAGCAGACTTCAGGAGGGTGACATTTGTACAGCTGACTGAGGAGGAGGCAATGATGGAGTCAGAGAGGAAAGTCATGTAACACAGTGTAAGCAGGGCATGGGAGGATTTACTTTTAGTTTGAAAGGATGATTTCTTATGGATTATGTGGTGTGAGCCAATTTCCAGCCTCCTTGTCTCTAAAAATCTCTGCAGTAGAGTTAGTGAGTAATGAGCTTTTGTTGGAATACTTGCCAGAGCCATGGAAAGAAAACACAGGATGTCAAAACTGGATTTTCCATTTTAAGGATCAGTGTGTAGGATTTATGGGGAATATTCTGGCAGAAATGGAATACAATGTCTGCAATTAGTGTTTAATCACCTCAAATCCAGAAGTATTGAGTTTTCGTCAGGAGCAGGGTCTGCAACTCCATCCCTAGATTCCATTAAATCCTACGCACTGCTCCTTTAAAACCTGGAATCTTAATCTTAATGACTTCATTTTCTTCTTTTTTGGATTCAAGATACTAGTTTGTATATATATATATATATACTGTATATATAGATTTATTATATAGACATTTTTGTGTGGTTTACAGTGGCTATAAAGTGTGCTAATGTTACTCATTGAGTCAGTCCACGGTCTGTATAACTCTTCCTCTTTTTGGTATCTCAAAGATACATATTTCTGTGGTTATATCATAAAAGAACAACAAGACGGTTTTACCTCATTACACGACCTGTTTGTTGTTTCCTGCTGGTGGTGCCACTTCATTCACTCCCAGCATGCTCAGCTGCTGATCAAGGCTTTGAATCATCTGATGGGAAATGAAAGGAAATTCAATGCCAATGCCAATATCTATGTAATCACATTCTTAACTCTGACCAATAAAAAATATATCTGTGCGTTTAGGGAAGTCTTGGGATTCTCACAGTGTTTCATTTCACAGATAGGACTCATAGTTTTTGAGTTAGAAGCATTTGTTTGAAGACTGGTGCTAGAGCACAGAGCTCACTCTTCCCCATTGGATGTAATGTAAAGTTTAAAAAGAGATTTGGATGGAAAAAAAGACATTTCTAACTCGCTCTCACGGTCACATATCTTAACTCTAACCAATAAAAACGTGTACATTTGGTAAAGAGCCTAGATTTTCAATTAAATAACCCCCCCCATAGTAACAGGATGTTATCAGGAAACCTGTAAAGAGCCTGGATTTTCAAAATAACTAAATTTTCTAGTTTTTTGTTTTTTTTTTCAAAATCAGCTGCATCTGAAAAAACTTGTCCCACTTGGCACTTCTGTTTTATCTCCACACACCCATTAACAAAGCTAACGGCGAGCACAATAAGTTAACAGGAGAGTCTGGAACATGTCAATCTACAGCTTTTAAGGCACAGTAACAATTAAAATCATCTTTGTTGCATTTAAAGAGTGTGGAAGGCCTCTGAGTTACCCAGCTGTGGGGCAAATCATACTTCAGTAGGATAATGTGTTATTGTCTTAGGAGCACAGCACAGTGAGTATTATACATGCTGGAATTATTATAATTTTGGAGATGGGAAACATTAAACTTGTGCGCTGTGTCTCGTTGGTCTGTCAGCTCTCCGGAGTGGAACTTACCACAGCAGCCAAGGGAGTGTACGTCCTGGCATAGCCTTCAGAGGTCACGTGTACCAACCCACTGAGATGGCTCTGGTCATGAATGGTGGCACGGTAAGTTGGGCAGAACTACTCACTTTGTGTGTGTCAACCTCTCTTAATTACTCAATAAACCTGACTCAATGGGCCTTTGTGTCTCTGTCTCCCTCTCTAGATGCCCACAGCCCCAATTAACTACACTGGACGCCGGTTATGGTAATATGGGACAAGGCTTGAAGAGGATATATCTGAGTCGCTCTTTGATTGAGGAATTTTATGTTGCCTGACAAGAAGATGGAAATATTAAAGACATCCCATATCACTCTAGAGTGGATTTGATGGGATCTAAATATCTTTAATGTGTTTGTGTTTCTGCTCACGTGTATGAATTTGACATTTTAAAAACAAATTGTAATAGTATTTGTGCTTAAATTTTCTTGATTGCCTTTTGATCAAATAACTTTTTACTCTCTGGACATGAAATCAAAGGGGAGGGAAGAGAAAGTGTTGTGGCTTCCATAGTTAAGGACATTTCATCACAAAGTGACTGCGTTTCAGGTGCAATATTTTGATCAGTTCAGATACAGTAATAGACACTGATGAGAGGTGTATAAATAGGGCTAATGTTTTCATGGATCAAAACTCAGTGTCCAGTGTGATATTGAAAGGGACTAACTGAATAAGACAGTGGCAGAGTTATGATTACAGGAGGATTTGAATGTAGTTAAGTGAACATATTACTTGAGAAGTGCTAAACCAGCACTGTTACTTGTTACCTGCCTGATCATCGGGGATGCTTACTTTGTAAAAATGTCTTTCTCTTTTTGTTTGGCCTCAAGCTACACCTAAGAAAAAAACCCAGGACGTTTATGTAAATTTCCTGCATACGCCCACAAAGCTTGTTTGGCCTCAGTGTTTCACACTGGAAAACCCCAAAGGACTCCCATAGTGCTTCTCTCCTCCCTTCTATTCTCAGTGCTATGGGGCAGTTTGGTACATTTCACTGGGCGTATTGATAAATGTCATGTATTTAACAGCTAGTGCTGGTTTATGGGGGAATTTCAAGTGATTTGTAATGTTTAAGATGAATCTATAAGAAATCTAGTTTTTTTGTAAGCACATCATAACAAGCCATTTAATACTGCAATAGCTACTCTGGAGTATAGGAATTACTGCTGGAGATTGTGATTTTGCACTTTATCAGCGCTGATCTTGTCTGGGCATTGTGATATTTGAGATGCATGTGGAAGTACAGTTTAAAGGTCCTGTATTTTTGTCAGACTTAATGTATTTTGAGTGTTTTCTAAAATTTTGATATATATTTATACATATACTGTATATTGGAGAAAAAAGTTGCAAGCAGATTATTTACAGTTGACAAAACACTCCATTTAAAGATTCTACGATAACAAGTTTACATGCTGTAATGGTCAAAGTATGCATCATTTCTTTCATACCATAGATACTGCTGCAGTGCCTCTTTTCATACTCTGGCTGAAATGCTTAATTTTAGCTTTTGGTCCACCTCCCAAAAAGCTCAGTCTGCTCTGATTGGTCAGGAGGCCAGCTCTTTTGAAATTGGTCAGCTGCTCATAGTGTGTCTCCATAGGCACCCTGATGCAGCAATGGCAACAATCATGTTGAGTCAAATTAGTAGGCAGATGAACGTGTTGCCTGTTACCTGGTAACACAGACACTTCACTGTAAACAAGCCAGGAATGCAACCAAGGAATTTTAGGCTCTTGATCTAAGATCTGATGATCTAAGATGATCTAAGTTTTCTGGCATAGAGAAGAATACCTTTGCCACTGACTTTGGCAACTGTAACTTAGCAGACACACTAAAGGAAAGGAACACTGGATTTAATGACAAAGGGTAAATCCTATCTGCAGAGGAAGGCCATGTGATAAATTTAAAGTTTGGTCAAGTCTGCTAAATGGACCTTGAGTTTGGGATGTTTTTCCCTGAATTCATTAACACTAAGAGCATTCAGACACATATTCAACATTAATGGCAGCATCTGACATTTTTTGGGGGATTTAGTATCTCCTTTCATTTAATATCAAATACAGCGAAAACATGTCATCACTGTGACTTTACCTGCAAACGTTTCGTGTTTTTGATATTTGCAAAGTTTGGCTAAAAATCCCTGCATATTTGACTGGAGAGCTGCAGTTTCCATCTCTTGCGCAAGACAATTTATATGGTTACAATACAATTTGAAGAGCAGTCACCATGTTCATGTCGTGAGCATTCTTTCTCACTGTAACACTTAACTGAATAACCAAGTTGTCAACAACTTTGCTGTTGTGTACAGGCGTGTGCTCTGATATTGTAATTTGAAAATATTATCATCACATAATTTTATGTAAAAATCCTATAAAACTGAGTTTTAATTGTGTGAATATTCAAGTATGAAGAAGTACTGGTGTTACTTTTTTGAGATGCTCATATGATGATAGCACTGTCACTGTTTTCTGGCAGCATAATATGAATGTCTGTTATGTGATTTGCACAAAGTGGCTAATACATCGGTGCACTTCTTCTGTTAACAACTGTCTGGTCATTGAACTGATCTTCCTTCAGCCTCGTTTCCCTCATGGATCCACTTTTCTATAGGGAGTAACAGCTATTGAGTAGAGTAGAGGTTCTTTAGAAGAAAACACGAGCAAATAGAGAAAACACGGAGCTCCTCTTGGACAGCACATATTATTAAAAAAAATGCGATTCCATAATATAACACACACACACACACACAAAATGCAAAGTAAAAAAAATACATGTGTGATTTTCTATGGGGATGATCCTGGAAAAGAAGTCCAGGGGTCCCACATGAAACACACATACACAACCCTTCTTTTTAAAGATCCAGTGTGTAAGATTTAGGTGAAAGGGAACTATTGGCAGAAATTTAATGTAGAATAATCCTCATGATGTTTTCACTAGTTCGTTTCATCTAAATTGTATGAATTGTAGTTTTCTTTACCCCAGAAAAGGCCCTTTATATTTAAATAATTGTGCTATCCTTCATGACTTGTATGGATCTGCTGAGCAGGACCTGATGGGCCCCTTAAAGNAAACCACTGTTTATTTTAAATTTCATTACAGAAAACATAAAAACAATTCAGTATTTCTCTTTATAGAAAGTCGAATATATGCTCTTAAATGAAACCTTCCTCTCGTGCACAGCGCCGGAATTTGTTCTCGAGAGCGCGCTTGTTGCTACAGATACCGGGATCGTTGCTAAGAGTAACGACAGAGGAGGGAAATCTACTTCCGGGTCAAGAGAGTAAACGATTTTCCACGTGAGTTTCAGGGTGTACACAGTTAGTAACCCACTCGTTAAGTTTAAAGTTTCTAACACACTGTGTAGTTGTGATTAAAAAGGTCTCAGCGTTTGTGCTTTTGATTAGTTTGTCTTTTCATTGATTTTAACCGTTAGCTGCTGTTAGCTAGCTAGCATGCTTTAGCAAGCGAGTTCCATGAATGAACTGGTCCTGCTTGAATACTGTTGTTATTTTCCTGTTTGCTAACTTTGCTCTTCATCATTCGCGTATCTTAACATACCAGTCGATGATTTAGAGAGGCCGCCTGTGTGTATCCCGACATGTTGTGATTCGCGTGGAGCTGCTGCAGTGGGAGTGTGATCTGACTTGTGATCACTGGCTCTGCCATCACGCTCATTCGCAGAACACTGTTCATTTTATGGTTCAGTCGGATCAGGACGTCTGCACGCAGTTTCCAAGAGGTTACCATCGACCAGGTGCTGACTTCTTCACACGTCCCACTAGTTGTGTCACAGTGGACTTTGCATGAGCACTACAGGTCAATAGCCAGAGAAGTGCAGAAATATTCAGTCTGCAACACAAACCCAAGCAGCAGTGAATTATGAGGCATGCACAAGGCAGACACATCTGTAAACTCAGTCCCGGTTAAAACAACATCATTTAGTCTGCAGGAACACAAATGACATATGATTGATGATGATGATTATTTGCATACAGAGCAGGGAGATGTGAGAAGACACACTTTCCAGATGCATTTTCTTATTAGGTGTGAACAGTTGAATTTAGCGCTTCCACATGTGATTGGATCTCTCAGGATGGCTGTTACTCCCAGATCTGAACAGGGCCTTAGACGTAGATTCAATGCGCCTGGTTATTGAAGTTTAAAAGGTGTGATCTTGCAGTAACTGTTCTCCTCTCTCCAGAAAAGCCAGAGGTCTGTTGCTGTGGAGAGACAAATGGAAATGAAGACTGAGGGTGAAAGAAGTGAGACAAATCTTGTGAAGAAGAAGAAAAAGAAACAGAAGAAAGAACCAGCCTCTGGCCCTGAAAACTACACGGTCGATGATGAGAGTCCAACAGAGGTGAAAAAAGAAAAGAAGAAAAACAAAAAAGTTGAGACAGTGGTTATAGAAGATGCCAGAGGTCCAGAACCCATGGAGACGGCAAAGGAAGGAGTCAAGAAGAAGAAGAAAAAAAAGAAGCAGCAGCAGGTAGATGATATGAACCATGTGGAAATTGCAAAGAGTTCAGATAAAGAAGAAGTGGAAAAGAAAGAAAGAAAAGAGAAGAAAGTCAAGAAAAATACTGTGCAAAGTAAAGCTGAAAATGTAAAGATACAGAAAGAAGAAGAAGAACAGCAGGCTGGAAAGGATGAAGAGCCAAAGACAGCTAAGAAAAGAAAAAACAATATTTTGTCTGTAAACACAGAAGTGACTGAGCAGCAAATTAAAGAGAAGAAAAAGAAGAAAAAGAAAACCTCAGAGGAAGAAACGACTGTAGCTATTGATGAATTGACTACAACAAAAAAGACAGAAGTGGGGGAGAATGGACTGAATTTAGAAACCATAGCGGGAGGAACTGAGGGTGAGGAGGTAACAGTGAAGAAGAAGAAGAACAAGAACAAGGCCAAAAGTAAAGATGAAAATGGAGTCGAAACACCTGAGATCAAAAGGAGCAAAGCAAAAAAGACAGAAACAGACAGTATGCTGGATGAGAGTGGGGTTTTTATAGAGGAAGAGAAGACAGAGCCAAAGAAAAAAGGAAAAGGTAGAAAAGCTTCTGTGGAGGTCACCGAAGTAGAAGATACAGAGCCACAGAAAAAGAAGAGAAAAAGGGGAAGCTCAAAGGGAGAGGAAGAGCCGTCATTAATCAGATGTGAAGAAGATGAGGAGGGAGACGACACAACAAGCAAGAAAATCAAAAAGAAGAAGAGCTCTGCTGAGGTGACACAGGCCGAGAAAGATGTTGGAGTTGAAACTGGTGCGAAGAAGAAGAAGAAGAAAAAGATCAAAGAAGAGGTGCGTGCGTGTGTGTGTGTGTGTGAGTGAGATCAGGGGTCCGTGACACTCCCAGGTTTAACACGGGGTCTATAAAAGTCTTAGATATATGAAAATATAATGTACAGGTAGGACTTGTGTGTGATGTCTCCTCGTTCAGACCTGGTATTTACATCCGTCTTGAGTGATGCGATCAAGAGGTCACTTGATCACTCAGATCACATTTGGATGTGGTCTGGGGCGATTGTGGTGACTACTTTTCGCTGTGTAAAGCAAAGTGTCCTGGGCCACTTATGAAGGACCATCCAATCAGGGAACGTCTTCTGACCTGCAATGGTTTCACAATGAATGAAACATATTTCGTACATTATGATTTCTTGTTTTTTCAATGAGTTCATAGATCTGCACGCAGCGTATTGATTCATTTAGCTCCCGACTCCACTCTCTTTCGACACAAAAACACACACATACATTGTCATTAGTCATTTGTTTGTATATAGAGCTTGGAGCTGAGTCAAGTGGTCACAGGAGACACATTCAGGACGCTATAATAAAACTACAAACAAGACCTTTGGTCTGATTTGTCCTCTTGTTAATATACGGCCGTGGGTTTTTGTTTAGTTGATGTGGGTGGTATATATTGAAAAATTTAGCTTATCCTCATCTTACTAATTTACCTTATATTTAATTATGGGGACGTACTTGACATTTATTGATTTATTATGGTGTCCTGCTGAAACCTGCAGAAACCCTGTGTGCACATGAGGGAACAGTTTGTGTATGTGTTGCAGGAGTCCTCTCAGGTGGACGTGGTGTTTCTGTCAGAGAAGAGTGGAAACACTGATGAAATCAACGTCACTCAGGTAAACGTCCAAAGGTTATTAAAATAAATCTTAATAATATAATCTCACCTGTAAGGCTCAACGGTTAACAAATTCCATCTTATTTTTTAATCCACTTAAGTTAAACCTCCTGAGTATAGTTTAATATTTAACAAAAATAAACAATTGTATTTTAATGGATATTTTTCTCCTCTTTTCTGCCGAAAGCCACTGTACTTTGCATGAATTGTGCTTTGGTTTGTCACAGGAGAGAAGACAGGTGCTACAGATAGAGATTGACAAGGCCTCTCAACCTGAAAAACCAGCTAAACCATCGGTCAGTATTTGCATGAAATTCACAGTGAGATTTTCCCGTAAGCCTCTCCCTGGTGTTCTAGTTACATGGAATCTGGTACAACTAGAATTCAAATTACATCATTCTCAACACCACATTCCAGACCAGAGCAAAACATAGCAAACAACAGAGTCTGCGTTTTGCAAATAATAACCGTAACATTTCAGAAAACATGAATATTTTGGTATGTTGTTTGATGTGGGGTAAATAACTGTAACTTGCTCTTTCAGAATTCTGTGTCCAGATCCAGATGCCTGTCTGAGGTTCTCAGATGAGTCTGAGGTGTTTTGTGCTTTTGTTTGAAATGATCTGTGGTTCAGAATAAATACTGGCTTTTGGTCATTTATACCTTCTACCTGATGATCTGCATCAAACCGATCAGTTTTTATAACATTAGTTCCTGTATTATTGCTCCTTTCTTAAAATCAGGGGACTAACCCTAACCCTCAGACAGATTTTTGTATGAATAGACAATAGTGATGCAGCAGTGATATCCTGACTCTTTATTTCTGATCTTCAAAAAGTGCTGAGGACCTACATTTCCCATAATGCAACTCTTTATAATCTCTTATCAGGCTCCGACAACATCATCAGGTTTTGTTTTTTGCAGCTTAGTAATGCTCCTCTCGAGCCAGGGGGGTCCAGTACAACAGTTTTCAATGTTGTTATTATAGACTGGAAATAAAGCTGGATGACAGCTCCTAAAAGGGAAGTCTAAGGCCAAACTAAAAAGTCAAAGAACCCATTAAATAAATTAGATAAAATCAATAAAAAGATGGTTTCTGTCATTTATGGTAGATCTTACCACATTTTACTCTCAAGTTTGGTTTGAATTAGTTATTTGATGCTATGAAATCGGGTGTGAAACATGATTGACAGCTAAGATTGATTCACGATTGGTTTGTGTGTATATTGGTGAGACGTCACTACCGTAGTTCCATCCTCCAATCACGACAGACGAGATGGCAGCGTTCATTTCAGGAGGAAGTCTTTGTTTGTGCTACTCATATCAAGCTAAAGTTCATGTGTTAAGTTGGTGCAGCCCCTCTCAATGAACTTATGATTTTTAATCACTATGACAACTAGCGTCTAATCCCTAATGTTGGTGTTCCTCAGGGTTTGGGTCAGTGGAGCACAGCACGGTTCAATAGCTCTGACCAGCAGCAGAAGTTCCTCCGTCTGATGGGCGGCTTCAAAAAGGGCTTCCAGCCTGCTGCGGCGAGCGCTGACGGAGCAAATATGGCGATGGGGAAAGACGCACAGCAGCAACTGCAACAAGGGCTTCTGGGAGAGTTTGAGCGTGCTCACTCACGCAGAATGGACTTCAATAACAGAGGGGCCGGGCTTGGGTTTACTGCACCGTCCAATAAGAAGTTCTCTATTGACATCAGTGCAAGTCGATCAACTCGCTTTGATGATTAATTTAAGTGTGATCGAAAGTGTTTTTGGTTTTTTTTGTGCATGTTTTTGCACTTTTATTTGTGGATTCGTACAGTTTGTCTGCTCAGGTCGACTGGAGAACCTTTTAACTTGTGTAGATGTGATTATCAGACAAATGCCATTTGTACATACTGTATGTTAAACATCCTCCTGCTTGAGGAGCTACAATCTACATGACATAAGAACCAGTTTTAGTTTAATGCAATTTCAAATCAGTCTGGGATGGTGACAAATGTCATTCTTGAAATTATATATTTTATATTTTCTAACTTGACAATTTATTCTAATAATGGAAGGAGTAACTACAATCTGCAGATGACTCGTTGATTTACATTAATAGCATTTACTTCCACAGGAGGTGGCAATATTCAATCATGTGTAGGGAGAAAATGCTTGTTTTTGTCAGTTGAGGTGATTGTCTGGTTGGTTGAGTAGATGTGAGCAGCTGTTTACAAACGACAGAGGAAACTAGAAAAAAAATCATTTCAAAATGAGTGCACAATAACATCACTTCTGTATTAAAAAGAAACTTTCATTGTTTCCGATGGTCATTTTATTCCAATTTTGCACAAGACATCTGTAAAGCGAAGAGAGAATAAAGAAAAATACACTTTACATCAGAGATAAAATGGAAACATTTCTCTTTGCAGAATGGTTCAGTTTCAATTATGTGCTGAAAAAGAAAAATATTTGACTCATATGTTGTACTTCAGTATTCCGTGTATGGTAGCTGTGTCAGTTTGAACATTAGGCTCTACATCATTCACTTTCCCTTTAAAACTGCTGTGTGGACATTACTCCACATGTTGTAACTGGAAAAGCTGAGGTTTATGAAAAAAAAAATTAGCCTCAGGAGACAAAGACATCTTCATAGAAAAGATATTTAAGAAAATCAAGTCAGCCACACATGCAGAAAGAGCTTCAGAGTGCAGTGCAGATCCTCCTGGTTTCAGACCAAATGCAGCCACTGCCCTTTGTTGGACACCTCTGGTTAGAGTATGTACTTTAACCTCTGCCTTCAGGTGTAATCTGATTCTTGCCCCAACCAAGTCTTACAGTTACCAAGCAACACAGTTCATCTTTTAAATGACCTGATCTAAATACTTAATCTCAACAGTGGCCAGTTAGAAAAGTTTGGCAGTTTGTTTTGATGCTGCTTCAGTGTTTACAAGCTGGTACAATTAACTGATGACACAACGTGCACTGGGAAAGCTGTTATAAAAAAAAATAACACTTAAGAAAGACACCAGAAGTAGTCACCAGGTTGCACGTCGTCCAGTCTCTCAGAAAACATCTGAAACAGTTGAGAGGCTACTTGACAACAGTGACTGAAGTAGGGAGGGGGGGAAGCTGTGTGTTCCTTGTGGAAGAGAGAAGTTTCAGGGCTTTCACGCCTGTAAGTACTCCGGCTGCACTCGTGCCACTTTGCGGAACTCTTTGGTGTGTGTCCGCGGGCACTGCATCTCGCACCAGCTGATGGGAACCATCTGGGCACCTGGGCAACAAAAGAAAATATGACAGAAATGTGATAAAATAGTACACATGCATGTTGTATTCATTAAAAAAAGGGGGGTAAAATAGCAAAAATAAATGAAGATTTTCTCTGAGGTTGTGCATTTCACCTGGTCGTGTCTTTTTCACATTGTTGTATTTATTATTTAATGCTTGGATCACTACATCTGAACTCATTTGTAGTCAAAGTACTTGAAAAACAGCTCTTACAATGAAAATGGTCAAATGAAAACAGCCATCTGCAGAATACTAACCATTTTCTCTTTGGCTACAATGACATTTACTCTTGCACCACCTTGTGTTCGAACAGGATACTACAGTATTTGCTTTTAAAGATCCCATAATTTACACCTTTTTATTACGTTTATACAGACCTTTGAGTTCCCTTAAAATATGTGTCTGAAGTTTCTTCCTTAAAACACCACTCAGATGCTGCATTTAGGCTTGTCTGAAAACCCAGAAGCAAAGGTTTTTATATCAAATATCAAGTGTTACCTGCTTCACTGTGTGCCACCACGACTCCCAGCTCATTCTCAGCAGTTGTCAACAGGTAGTTCGACTGAACGTCGCCCAAAGAAATCTGACATCACATGTTCAGGGTCAAAATCAAATGAAAATGTATGTACATATATCCAAACCAAAGACGATGAAGCAGACCTATCATTATAAGAGGTGACAGCGTTCTTTGAATTCACTTATAGTCACAAATCGCAGAGACAGCAAGTTGGATTTAAAACTAATTTGAAAATGTGCATCAGTCATGAAACCACAGTTATAAAAACCAAAACACTTCCAGAAATCAGTTTATGTGACTGAAGGATACCACTTTTGCCAGGACGATGTCACCAGGTCTGAAGCTTTTGTATGTCTCCACCTTTAAAAGTAAAGAGAAGGATTTACACCAAGCTTCTCATTTCACTTTCAGGAATAAACTGGAGCTGCTGAGACACCCATTCATTCAAACCCACCTTGTCCTTCTCTGTTGCACGCACATCTTCTTTTCTGCAGAATCAGAGAGAGTGAGCTTTTTGGCATAAGCCAGTCCAACACTTTTAGGTTTTAGTCATAACTATTAGTGAGGTCCAGACACAACACAGTTAACACGAATCGAGAACACGCTGACTAGCTGCCACAGCTGTCAACACCAACCCAAGTTTAATGCAAAGAATATAGAGCACAACATTGTTATTATTCTACAAATATACTAAACAATCTCACCCTTAAAGTAATAAGACCATACACCACTGCTGCTCTATGGAATCACTTTTAGGTTACGTACCTGATAGTCCCTCTGAAGCGATCCTTCAGTGGCGTGGAGCCCACATAGAGGATCTGGACCTTGGCGAACCTGGGGTTGATGCTGGTCACCTGTGCGATCAAATGCAAATGTTCAAGACAAACCACCTCTCTGAAAAACGAGATCCATATCTTAACTGTGCTAAATCCCCCTAACAGATCAAACAATCCGATTCCACTGCATACCTTACAGGTGACTATTGCTCCTACATCTGGCAGCAGTAGTGCTTCTGTTTCCCTCACAACTGAGATCACGGGTAACTAGAGGACAAAATAAATCACATGCATTAATGTAAACCAGTCACACAAAACCCTGTACGGTTTTCATTACTGCAGCTCAAACAGCCTCAAACGGCTCAAAATATGGATCATATTTCATCAAAGGCTCCGAACAAACCCTTTTCTCTTCTTTCACATTCACAAAGGTTGTGTAATAACTTTACAAAGGCACTCCCATATCCCATGCATGACTGCTTCTGCAGCTTTCACCACTTCTCTGCAGCCCACACCAGCCACACCCCTCACCTCCTCTCCCTCGTTTTTCCTGAGCACGTAGCCTGCTAGTGAGGAGTATATGTAGCCGTGCCGCAAATATACTCCTGTGCCTGGAAAACAGTCTTCTACACTGCATAGTTTGTCACCTGAGAACAAAGAAGAAGAGGAAGACAGGTGGTGTCAGTAGAGGAGACACTACACCAAAGCACCTTTCAAACAGGTTAGTGCAGTTCAAAGTACTTCACAACGACTGATGAGTAAATACAAGAAAAGTCAATAAAAGGGAATAAAAACATAAAAATAATATAAACAGACAGGTAAATAGTATTTACAACATAGATGCAATAAAAGAAGTGAACTAGCGTGACACTCAGTAGAGTGCATACCTCTGCCAATCAGTGTCCTAAAATTCAATCAAACTGCATCAAATTTCACAAACTCATAAAATCAGTCCCCTGAATATGTCTGATTTTTTCATAAAGATCCATGATCTGTTCTCACAATGTTATGGAAAGTGGAAAAAATAATTCCTGTAACTGCCCCCTGATCTGGAGCTGCTCCAAGATTTATTGGATTCTTCCTTGTCTCATGCTACATCCTTTCACCAAGATCAGTCGCAGTCCCTCCAGTATTTTTGTTTAATACTGCTGACTAACAAATAATATCTTTTGTCAGGTACATTTTCAACATACAAGGAATGTAATTTTGGGGTTTGGTGCACAACAGACATGAAACAAAGAAAAAAATGGTGAGCGATAAAGCAAATTATAAAGCCGGTCCTGTTAATACCAGGACAGTAACTGGTGGAGAGTGTTGCCAAATTGAAAAT